TCTGATGAAGTTCGTTATTGTGGAGTGATGCTTTTACCCAGTTTAAAATCAAATGAAAACCCACATAACCCAAACTCTATTCTGAACAGAGAAATATAAATAAAGCCTCTTTTAGGTGACTTGTTTAAGATATGACCTCAGACCGAAGCTCGTTTCGAATTATGATAAAGACTGGAGTCTACCTGGGATGAGGAATACGACGGTTGCCGAATAAGGCGTAATACAATCATGAATGGGCCAGCTAAAGGACGCGGAAGAGATGCCGACATATAATATCCGCAGGGAGTAAATAAATGTTTAAAATTGAAGCAGGAAGTTGGGATTGCTACATACCCAGATGACAAGCCTGTATTTATACCTTGGACACAAAGTGTGGAAAAAAATAAGTTTGAGTGAGGCATACGCAATCCAAAGAGAGAGGGAAGGTTAATATAAAATTCAATAGTTCAATAACCCAGAAAGAAGCGCACTAAACATTGATGCAGCAATGTTACACCCATGAGCAATTCCAAGACCAGCACATGTAATGATCAGTATCATTATTATTATTATGCTCATGTCGGCAAGTTGAAGAGTTTGACCTGAAAAGAGCGCAAAAGCAGTGGCAATTTAGTTCATGGGTTGGCAAAATGAAGTAGTTGGGACCGAAGCATGAATCACGAGAGCCACGAGAGTTGGATGGTTTAGACTTATTTATTAATGAGTATTTGCTTGCACTCTTAAGCGCGATTCCACCCAAGCGCTTGATTTGAGTGATGATAATGCGAATGATGCCGATGTGGGAATATAAACGAAGAGCACCAGCTTAGGCCTGCATTCATAGAAATGTGTGATTAATAAGGAAAATTTCTAGGCATAAGCGGAAGGAAAGAAAGAGAAAAATACAATCTGGTTGGAGTAGAAAATGTGGCCATGTTGACATGTTTGCAGTAAAGGGATTAGATGTGTTGCGAATTCCTGTTTTTTAGTTAAAGCACGCACCTGTAGTGTTGCCAGGATAAATAAAAAAGAGAAAAAAACAATTCACTTTTGTAATGTTTTCCCAGTGATATTAATCATGTGTGCTTCCTGAAGAAGGGAGGTTATTCGTAGAATTTGGACTCAGTTCTACGGTATTCAGTAAAATTTCCCAAAAACTTCAGATACGAAATTGTTTGGTATATGTTAAGGGTCTTCAGAGGAAGAAGCCATCCAATAAGTTCATGCACAATTAAATGAAGATATAAAATGCTTTGACTTGCTTTATTTTCATTAGTATTCCATGTGCACTATTTTTGAATAAATATTCGCGCAACGAGCCCGATTAGTTGAATCACAATTCCCACAAGTCTGCACATAGATTCCAACTTAACTTAGTTATTTGCCTTAGCAAGACTTCTCTAAGCCTCAAACATTCTCTGATTAATGTGAAACTTCATCCGAATATCGTCAAAATGACTCCTCCAATTGGAGATGGTTTTATCAAATCCGATTCAGTGGAATGATTGTGCTATTATAATCACAGCTCCACTAAATAAAACGTACGCAGCCGCTTAGTGCACGAAAAGTAAAATAACCAAAATGTGAACCCATACTAGACATAGGATCTTCAGGTTAAACTGCATGGATTTCATAGTTTAAGCTGATAATTAAAATAATTATTTAAGTATTAATTTAAAATATTCTATACTTTCAATAATCACAACTGGAAAGTGGTTAGTATCTCATGGGCTTTTTGAGTGTCCTATACGAACATCTTCTGATTGTAATAGGAAAAAAGGCTTCACTATAAGTTTTAAACATCAATAAAGGACCCCAAAATTCCATGTAAAAGAAGTATGTATAAAGTAAACCAACAATTGGGATGCATATTTATTTCTAATACGAGTCATGTGTAAAAAGGACGCAACCACACTTGTAAATAGTGCTGATGCTGGGATCAGGAAATACACTTCACGCTCTATAAATACGCATGCCAATGGGCAGTGACAATCTCAAGTGGAGACAGTAGAAGTGATAATAAACAGACCCTAAATCACTTAGCAAAGGTGGTGAGAAGTGAAATATGGATAATGTGGGAAACGAAAGACTGGCAGCATGGCAACGAAACCCAGCCAAATGTAAAATATGCACATAATTTACGCTTCCGCACAGATGTTTGTCCAGAAGTGTCTGAAACCGCTTATCTACTGGAGCGATTTTCCGATCTGGTCTTAGTAATCACAAGCCTAGTATAGTGAATCATTGTGTATAGCATCGCTATCTTGTTAGTATAAGTCCAAACGGATAAAAGCGCGATATGATGGAACTTGAATCACCCCGTAAAACCATATTCAGAAGCAAATCTTCTCTGCCAAGACATGAGAAAAGTCGGGCCTTATAAAGCCGAAGTTCTGAACGTTATTATAAACAAGAAGGTAATTGTCAGAGCGTAAAAGTTAGCAACATTTAACTTTAAAAGGATCCTAAAGCAAACTAAGAAAATCCACGTCTCGTGGATGTTTCTGCATTGCGTTAGACTCTGAGGCAGAAATCAACATAAAGTAATATCAGTCAAAAGGACATTGTATTTGCAGGCTCATAAAAATTATCCATCTAAGGTGCATCATATAATTGAGTTGTCATTTATTCTCGAATCATGCATTCAATAAGATTAGTTGGAAATGGCCTGCTACATGACCCTGGTATCAGCTATCCTTCAATAATACTACATTATTCCTACTCGTTTAAAAGAAATAAGAACGGACTAGTGGTGGTGAAAGATAAAACACCCTATCGGCCTTAGGAGCGGAATTTGACAAAAGGGCAGAAAAAATTCCCATCTTTCAGACGGAGCAAAATAATTTGAGAATACAGTAGAAGGGGAAGAAACAACTTACTGGAGGTGAAGTTCACTTCGGAAATGGCGATCCAGCTCTTTCCATCGAACCAAAGCGAAACTCGCACGTAGCGTCCGATCGGGGCCTGTTTAGCCGCAGAACGGACCTCCTCTCTACCATGCGAAGCGGGAACGTCAGGGACCCGACGCGTTCGGCACAGAGAATCATTGCTGTTAGAGACTGGAATAAAACATCGAAATTTGTTATTATCGTCCCCGCTTTCTGATGGGATAGAGCGCCGTGATCGTAAAGAAGGCGAGTTATTCTGCATTTCCCTTTGCTTAGGCCCGTTTCTTTGTTTCATAAATTGATGCTGCTGCTGCCGGTGGCCCTCAACTGAAGTTGATGCAGTCAAGTCAATGTCGATCCAGCGCGGACTGGGGCTGCGCAAATCACGACTGAACGAATGAACAACAGGCGGTGAAATGCGATCAAAAAATTTGCCACCAAGACTGAACTGAACGGCAACGCGCGAAAAGACTAGCACCCCATCTTGGTGTGAATTCAGTGCATGAATATGCAGGGTCTCGAAGCGACGAACTAAATAATGTGTTCATAAGTAGCGGTTTGTGTAGATGTAAACAATTTTTTGTAGGTGCAAGCATGGGTTATAGGAGAATAATGTAGGATGAGAGGATGACAAGAAGTAGGAGGGAAAAATCAGTGAGCAAATTAAACATTTAACTTAATAGTTAATGACACTTTATTGGACTATAGTTGATAGGAGTTAACAAAATTATTGTAAGTTATTCTAAAATAATAGTGAGAAAAGAGGAAATGTTATTAGGAAAGAAGAAAACTGATCAAGACTGTACGGTGAAATCGTTAGGAAATAGCATCCGATGATCAATAAGTGAATTAATTTACTCAGGAATGAGAGAGATTCAGTTAATATTTCAATATCCTAATACTCATTGAGAACAACTAAAGGAACGATATAAAAGGATTTAGACTAAAATCTTCGAAAATTAGGCAGTAAGCCTGATAAATACAGCATAACCTCTCTCGAGCTGTTATTCACCAACAAAAAGTATCGAAAAATCGAAAATAAAGATGAAAAATAATTATAAATATATAATTATAATTTATGTGACTTTAAAAGATCATAACATTTGGATAAAATTAATGAGTTTTTCCACCAGGCTTCTATTCAGAAACTAAGTGATACTTATGATAAAGAGAGAAATAAGCTAGTTAGGTTTATAGATCTGGCG